CTAAAATTTTTAAAGAAAAACTTATTATTGATGTAAAAGAAGGAACAAATTATATTTATCTTGGTAATATGTCTTATGATATGCTTATTTACGGTGTCATGATATTGCAGTAACTTAACGGGCATTTCATATAACTTGTTTCTTAAGTTGCATAACCTGTTTTCATAACATTTTGTTATCAAATATATATAAAAGGTAAATTTCTAATGAAATATTCTTCATTTCACAGCAGTGTTATTTACCGTGATATAACGTGTGTTCACATTTATTATACGGTTATGATCATTATTCATTATAGAGCTTTATATATTTGTTATATACATTTAATTTATATCATTATGTTTTACATGATTTTGCTTTTAGAATATATCACAATATATATTTCGAGTTGCTAATAGAACTACAGTGGTTCCCAAAGTGTTCGTACACTTATGATTTTCATTGAAATAGGGCTCTATCCATTAATTAAAAGTAAACTTTCTGAATGAGACTTTAATAATAAGATCTATAATCTATTTGTAACAAAATTATATAAAATATTTTTTAAATGTAGTGAAACTTTATTTTTAAGAAATTAATAATCAAAAAATGACAAACATTTTATCTCAAAAAAAATGAAGATCTTCATTCTAAGAACTTAATTGGAGGCTATATGCCTTAAGGGAGGGATGCCTTTGTGGAGGACTTTATAAGGGAAACTGGCTCGTATACAAGTTACACATGGGGAAAACCACGAAAACACCCATGCAGCCAGCCCGTTCGCAGGATTCGAACCTCGGACCGAACTACCAGTGTTCAGCGGCGTTACCGCTCGGCCGCTGGTGGTCTTCGCGGGCGGTAATTATGTGAATTAGGATGCTATCATACCGCTCACCCGATGGCAAAAATATAGAAAAGGCAAAGTCAAAGGTTAAATTCATTAATTCTAATCAGAATGCACTAGCAAAGTAAAGCACTGTGGTTTTACATAATTTCTGATTAAGCTATTGAAATCGTACAAACTGAAATAATTCTTGCATTTAAACTTGTATTCCAAATTAAGATTTAACTTGAAATTAATGTAGATAATTACTGAGAGAATTGAATTTTTGTAGTGTACTTTACGTGAAATGAGATCACTTGGGGTCACGTGATGTGAACCGGCGAATCAGGATGTTTTACCATGAAAGCATAGTAAATTCTTAAATTAATGTCTTTTTGAAAATTTATTGGCTTTTTTACAAAATTTTAAATGACATTTAAATGTTTATACCTTTAAAATAAAAAATTCTTAGAACTAATATTTGTCTATATTTTTATGTGTATACTGTGTGTTGTCGCTAATAAAGTCTGCTTGGCGAGATTTGCGCTGGCGAAACGGAAAAGTACCAAAATTTGCATTCTATGAAATTGTACTTTTTAAATGATAAAATTTTAAAATCTACAATCTGAATATTAGAATATGGTTGGAAAATTACCATAAAATTTCTTGTTTCTACCAAAACGCTTTTAATATTCTGCGATGGAATGGGATAGTTCTTATGAAAATTATATTATGGTACTGGAAATGGCTTCTTGTTTGCTTAAGAATTATAACCAGATAGTGAAGCTCTTACAAAAAATTTTATCTGATTAATATAATTTATGCCTTTTTTATAATGAAATGGCTGTTGTATATAAATGATTGTAGTTGTTTAAGAGGTATGTTATATTTTCCCATGAAACCATTATGGCATACTAAAATTCATTTGATAAGTTTAATTTATTTTTGGCTGTTGGGTATTATATTTCTATGCAAATACATTATGGTATACTGATGATTATCGTCAAACTCCTAATATTTTTACTCTACTTTCGACCATTTTTGGCTAACAAAAACTGATAACAATGTACATTAGCCCCAATAATGGATAAGCATGATATCAAAACGTACTCATAAATTCTCGGTGGTTTCATATAACACTGAGAAATCCTTAATAAACCACTTTTATCTGTTGATTATCTAACCAAATAAATAGCATCTGTTCCTCCCAAATTTCCACAAATAATTTTTCAAGGTTTTTTATATGCTATATCTCTATAGTTTCTGTTGATCATGTAACTTAAAAAGAAATATCTGTTACAATAATTTTTGAAAGGACATATTTCCATCAATCTTCTTGACTGACAAGAAAAATATGTAGATAATGTGTGGAGTTATTATAGCATAGGGAAAAACATGACACCAATTTTACAACAAATCTGAAATTTTGTTTTGTGAGTCTTTGGTTAAACTAAATGCTATAATTTATTTAGGATGAAATAATTCTTTGGCATAATGTAATTCATATCATCTATGTTGCTACAATTCTGTTTCAATACAAGACCGACCATATCAGTGTAATATTTCCTATGTGGAGACTTTGTTTCTAATCTTTGTGTAATATAATACAGAGAAGCTCGTACTGTGAATTCGTAAGTATAATTTATTCTTCTATTAGATTGGAATGGACTCGGTGTTTTCATATAGAATGTTTCATATTCAAAGTGTTAGTTCGGTGTTTCATATTCAAAGATGTTGAAGTTCATACAATGTAATTAATTAATAGACTTATCACACAGACCTTTTTAATAGACTTATTCTTGAATTTTTTGCTCAGATATAAAGTTATTAATTAAAAACAGCATTAGAAAAGCAAAACTGATTAAAAGAACACTTCCATTATTTTTAAAATTGATATATTTAAATGCTTTTGTTCATATAAAAACAACAATAAACACATTTCTAAATAATAAGATTATTAAGAAATTAAGAAATTTGGAACATTTATAAAGGTTTGCAAGGACAACATGATCGATTTTGTTATAAATCACATGGTTTTGACATGTTTTGAGTATGCTCCTGCCAGATTGGTAGAAGCCTGGTGATCCTGTTATGAACAAATCTTAACAGATAAAGATATAACATGTGAATATAGAATCTAAAGAAAAGGTAAGGTTAGATTAGGCTATTTGAATATGGCTAAGCACATTGGTTATCAGCCTGAAGAACTTTATAGGGAAAACTGGTTCGTATTCACAAAACACATGCAAAAAAAATAAAAACTGCACAGCCAGCTTGTTCACCAGGATTTGAGCTGAGATTAAACTACCAGTATTGAGTTGTTTAAACCACTTGTAGGACAAAACTAAAGAAAATGCTTGTAATATCATGTAATCAAAAGTTAACTGCATGTTATATGCCAGGATTGCTTTCTCAAGTACTGAGGTAGGTAATACTTAATCTGCTTTTTTTTTTTTTTTTTTTAAATGTTTGGTCATGGTATTATTCATTGCATGTATTTTCTATAATACATACAGAATATTAATAGTTCTATAACAAGTGTCTTTTTTTCATTTTTAAGTGCTTTGCTTGTTGATATTCTCAAAATTGCATTTGATGATTAGTGCTATCATGTGTATAATAAATACAATAGATGCATATAATAGATCAATATATTTTTAGTATACATATAATGATTCAATATCATTTTTATGGGAAAAAAAGACACTTTTGACTGCACAGATTTTCTAGAAATCCCAAGTAAAACACATATGAAATCATTTGTTTACAATCAGTGAACGTTAAAATCAGCTACCTGTCACAATACAATAAAACAGCGACACAATTTCCTACAACAGCCAGCAGTTCCTCCTTTACATGAACAAGAATTTTTTTTTTTTTAAATTTTTATTTGTCCTTTTTGAACAATGAAATGTCCTTCGATTTCATGCGATCAGGACGCTATAGAACTTATCCTTAAATAGAAAGCCAAAACTTGTACATTGGATTTCAAGTAAAATTCCGTGCATTACCAAATGATCAGCTTTTTAAAATGCTCTCTGCTTCAGTAATACAGCGAGAATTTACGCCTCCTCCTGAACAAAATCAAACATTTCGGAAGAGCTAAGTAACTCCATTTTTGAATGTACGAAGTCAGATCACAAATCAAAATACCGAGTTTTATCCGCCATACTAATGTGTGAAAGCGCCATCTATAGGTGAATTGAATCGCGGATATAAAAAAAAAATTTCGATTTTAGAAAAAATTTACATTTTATTTTAAAGGGAAGGCACATAAATAATTCGAAAATAAAAATTTTTTAACATTTAAAAATCGATAATACTCAACGATCTCTGGGCCGGAATCATAATCTGCAAAAATAATTATCATTTTCTATATTGTATGTAAATCGAACGCATTGCTTCGATCACGGAAAATTCGCTGCCGTCGCAGAGAAATTCGACTAATTTCATCCAAATACGCTTCAGCTAAAACTGACGCAAAACCTTCCGCCATGTTTATTGCCGGAAATATAACCATCTGTTTATTTAACACGAAGGGTCAGACCTGTCCTTACTTTAACAGCCGTCTCGTCAATTTAACGGTCAAATTTAACGCTAGCTTTGATGAGAATACCAATACTTGCGATTTAACTACTTGTGACGTCAGAGTACCACGTGATTCCGTAAATCTCACTTAACGGTGTGGTTAAAAATGTCATGAATAGGGCCCTTAGTTTAGATGAAAGAAGGGTACTTATCTTAAAATTCCAGGCTTTTGTATTATATCCTCACATTGTCCGCTTGTTTCATTCTCATCAAATCGGAGCTGAAATCTTAGGAAAAGGTGTATGTTTTGTAGAAAAAACACTATTTCAAAGTAATTTGATTGATAACCACTAAGGGGAAAGGAATGTTTTTCACTTTTTTACAGAGCGCTGCGAACGTGCAGCCCAATACATAAATAACTAGAAAGTAACAGGACTTATAGTTAGAAATTAGAAAGTAAAACTACTTTGCGTGCAGCCCACTACATAAAATAACTACAAAGTAACAGGGCAAGCTCGAAGTCTCAGTAGCGAATCGACATCAACCCTATGAACTCTATAACCCTTCCTTGATGCTTGAGCAAGCCTCGCTTGAATTTTGTTAGTATAGTTTAGTAATTTGTGCACGGCAACAGCGTTCAAACTCTAGAAACTGTAGTTATTGCGATTTTTCTAGTGGTAATAAAGTTTGTTTTCATTGAAACTGATTTTATTCTGTGGCTGATCGCAACACGTATAGATTTTTATGCTATTGTCTTTTTCAAAGCTATGATGTTAGTCTTTAATTAAAGACTACTTCATGCTGCATTGCCAAGTATTCAAAGCTAGAATAATTCGTGACCGTTTTCTTGTAATCTTGAATATTAATCGTTTGATTTGTGAGCACCGCTTCGGTGCTTTGAGTTAGCCAAATTACCCGTTACTCCGTAGGTTTGCATCAAGTCAAGTAATAAATCATTTGGAAGAGTAATGTTTTAAAAGAGTACATGCATGCCTTTGCAGGAGAAAAACCTCATGTATGTGAGATATGTAAATAAATATTTTTTCAAAAGCCTTCTTTAAATATGCATGTGCTTGTTCCTACAGGACACAGATGCGAAGTATGTCGGACGTCATTTAGAACTAAGGGTGGTTTAAAAACGCACATGCTTATTCACTCAGGAGACAAGCCTTATGTATGCGAAGTATGTTCGACGTCATTTAGAACTAAGAGTGGTTTAAAAACGCACATGCTTATTCACTCAATGGACAAGCCTTATGTATGCGAAGTATGTTCGGCGTCATTTAGAACTAAGAGTGGCTTAAAAACGCACATGCTTATTCATTCAGGAGACAAGCCTTATGTGTGTGAAGTATGTAGGAAGCCATTTAGTCAGAAGATTACTCTAATTCAACATGCGCGTATTCACACAGGAGAGCAATGTCATGTGTGTAATGTGTGTAAGAAGTCATTTAGGAAAAAGGGTTTTTTAAAACGGCATATGCTTAATCACACAGAAGAGAAGCCATATGTGTGTGAAGTATGCACAAAGTCATTTAGTTGGAAGGTTAATTTAAATGCGCATATGCGTATTCACACAGGACAGAAGCCATATGTGTGTGAAGTGTGCACAAAGTCATTTAGTTTCAAGGTAGTTTAAATGTGCATAGGCGTATTCACACAGGAGAGAATCCATATGTATGTGAATTATGTATGAGGTCATTTAGAACTAATGATAGTTTAAAAGGGCATATCCTTATTCATACAGGAGAGCATCCACATGTGTGGTGATGTATGTATGAAGGCATTTAGAACTAAGGTTGGTTTAAATGGGCATATGCTTATTCACACAGGAGAGAATCCATATGTGTGTGAAATATGTATGAAGTCATTTAGAAGTAAGGTTGGTTTCAATGGGCATATGCTTACTCACACAGGAGAGAAGCCATATGTGTGTGAAGTATGTACAAAGTCATTTAGACGAAAGGGTACTTTATATAGACATATGTGTGTTCACACAAAAGAAAATACTTATGTATGTGAAATATGTAATAAGACAGTTAGTGATAAGAGCAAATTAGTCCGGCATATGCTTCTTCACACAGGACAGAAACTTCATGTGTGTGAAATTTGTAAGAAGTCATTTATTCGAAAGGATAAATTAAATGAGCATATGCTTGTTCACACTGAAGATAAACCTTATGTGTGTGAAGTATGTAATAATTCCTTTAAACGTAAGAGTAATTTAAAGGAGCATATGAGTAAGCACAGAATAGAGAAAGCTTATGTGTGTAAAATATGTAAGAAGGCATTTAGTCGAACTTCTAATTTGAAGGAACATATGCGTATTCATACAGGAGAGAAACCTCATACCTGTGAAATATGTTTCAAGTCATTTAGACAAAAGGTTAAATTAAATGGGCATATGCTTGTTCACACTGAAGATAAACCTTATGTGTGTGAAGTATGTAATAATTCCTTTAAACGTAAGAGTAATTTAAAGGAGCATATGGATAAGCACAGACTAGAGAAAGCTTATGTGTGTAAAATATGTAAGAAGGCATTTAGTGGAACTTCTGCTTTGAAGGAACATATGCGTATTCATACAGGAGAGAAACCTTATACATGTGAAATATGCTTCAAGTTATTTAGACAAAAGGTTTCTTTAAAACAGCATATTCTTATTCACACAGGAGATAAACCTCATACGTGTGAAGTATGCTTCAAGTCATTTAGACAAAAAGTTTCTTTAAAACGGCATGTTCTTATTCACACAGGAGATGGTTTAGTCAAAACTGCATTTTGAAGTAACATATGCTTTTTCACACGTGAGAGAAACTGTGTGTGAAGTATGTACGATGTCATTTGACAGGAGTATGTACTTAGACAGGAGAAGTTACATACTTTACACCTTATGTATGTGAAGTATGTAAGAAGTCATTGAATCAAAAATAGAGTTTAAACTGCCATGTACTTATCTACATAGGACAGAAATGGGAACAGCTTTAGTATTGGTCCTTTTGGCGACAAACTTCGGTCCCCAAGGTATACCCGGCTTTGAAGATCGGGAAAAAATGGCAGATTGTCAACAAAACCCGATCTAGACTAAATAACAATCCTAAAAAATAAGCTCTTGATCAGAATAAACAGTGTCTCTAATTTTCAACATTTCTAGTACTATGATAAATTCTTGAAGCACTACCGTAAATCAATTTATGGCAGTGATTATGTTATGAGTAATGAAATTTACAAAAGGTTAATATTTAAATTACAAAATATAATATTAATATATTAAGCATTAATATTTTAAGTAGTTAGTTATAGTTATATTATAATATATTAGTACTTAGCTAATATTTTTTAATTTACAAAAGGTTAATTTTTATGTTATAAATAATGAAATTTACAAAAGGTTAATAAATCATTTCAAACTGTATGTTACTTTAGTTTCTTAGATTCTGTTATTAAAAGAAAATTTAAAAAAAATATTTCAAAGTGAAAGAAATCAAATTAAATTATAATGAGCAAGTTTTGTACCAGTGTTAGAAATACTTTTTATGATTAAATTTTGTAAATAGTAAAAATATTAAGAAGTGTGTATTTTTTAATCACTCAATTTATTACAAGTAATTTATGGTTATAATTTAAAAGCTAAAATTAAATTATCATAATGAGTAAATTTTGTACCAATGGTAATAATACAATAATCATAAATGATGACTTCTGTGAAAAATTCGAACAGTCATAGGAATCCACTAGTGGTGGAGTGATAAGCCACTGAACAGTGGTAGTTCAAGGTTGGCTATATGGGAGTTTTTGTGGTTTTCCGTGCATGTAATGTGAATCTGAGCCAGTTTATCTTAAAAAGTACTTTATGAAGGCATACTTCTGCTGCTAGCCAGCATATATATTTATTTTCTATTCATAATTCTCTCTTATTTTCTTAATTCTAAATCTTACTTCTGAAGTGAAGAAGTATTGCATCTATAGGTCGAAAGATATGGTCAATATGTTTGCAAAATCCTGTTCAGTTGTGGACAGCAATTAAATAAAATTAATAATTTGTATATGATGTAAACAAAAATGCATTACACTATTTCATGCAGTGAATAATTAATCAGGGAATAAAGTACAATGTAACGTTGTTTTATTTTGTAACCAGAGTTATTTTATGCTTGGGATCTTTACTGTCAATTTCCCCACCAGAATCCAAATGAAGTTTTTAGTTTGTAAACCATGGGGTTTTCATCCGCAGAGAACTCGTTGGCGTCGTTGCATTTATACTCGCCAAGCTCACGGTTCATCGATGATGAGCCGAGCCATAAATGCAATTTTTACTGCATGTAAGTTCAAGTTAGCAGACAAAACAATATATTAAGCATATGGTAGTAAAAATTCGCAGATAATAAGCATGTAGATGTAAAACTAACCAGTTAAACGTGATATACAAAAATAAATTTGTATTAAATTCAAGTTAGCACAGAAAAGAATATATTGAGCATAGGACAATATATAAGCATTTATAGCGGAAATAAAAATTCATTTAAAAAATATAAATTAGTATTAATATACTGAAATTAACCCGTAAAACGTGATATACGAAAAAAATTTGTCTTAAATTCCAGTTAACACAGAAAATAATATATTCCTTACACCAGCAGTGGTTTGTTAATTTTGATGACCATGGTGATGCATCAAACTATTCCGTCATCTAGATAATCAATAATATTTTTTAATTCAATTTAATCATCTATTTATGTCACACCTGCCATTCTCCGAAAGGTTATTGTTGGAAAAGCATTAACAATATATTGTTAAAATTTTACTCCATAAAAATTGATTTATTCTCATAATTTTAGATGACAATAGCCAATAATAAAAATAAAAGCATTACTTAATTATTTAAAATGCACATGCACATTTTTGCGTCCTACAAAAACAAATTATTTTAGAGGTTAGAAACCTCATGGTTCTTAGAGCTGTTAATAAGAACACAAATTAGCATTCACCCCTCCCGCCATATTTTCATCCTTTCACCCCGAACCAATAACCGACATCTATCTACGAAAATATTTCTATCTGTTTGTTGTTAAAAAATTCAGAAAAAATAATAATAAATAAGAGAAGAATAATATGAATCTGCAAATGCGAACAACGACAGTGATAATTCAACAAAATGAACACAAGAGGAATGGTTGCAAACTTCGAACAAGCGAATAAGATAAATCCGCTGGGTTACCAGATTTGAGCTGTTATCGCCAAAGTTGACGATGTTTACATTTACCGGGTTCTCTGCGGAAGTGCTTCCAAACCATGTTTTGCCTTTCGAGGCCACGTTACTAGGTTGCTAGATAAGATTTGTAGTCTTCAGTCTTGCATTATAATTGCTAATAGTTGAATTCCATGTCGGTTAAGTTTTGAACCGACTTTGCATTAAATTGATTTGTGTAGCCTTTGGCCACAAATTTATTTGAATTTAAATTTTACATTTGAACTTAATTGTTATCATAAGTTGTCTTGCCACAAGTGGTTGACTGAGTCGTAAGCACAAACTTTGCCATCTGTTCTGTACATCTAAACTTTATACAGGCAAAAGTCTTTAATCCGGATGTCCATAATCCAGAATGATCTATAATCTGGACTTTAAAGCTACAAACTTTCTTGCACGTGCGTAAACACATTATGCGTTTCATAAACTCATTATGCGCTTACGCATGCGCATAATACATTTACGCATGCACACGTTGAAAGAAATGTTTAATAAAGTAAACAAATAAATATTAAGCTTTTTTTTTTATAAATTTTGATACCCTTTAGATCATAATTGCTCTTTATTTCAGAAGTTATGGTTTCATATTTTTAATTTTATAATTTCTGCATGCCATCTTACCAGATTTAAATTGATGATCTATAATCCGGAATCACTGAAGTCCCGACAAGTCCGGATTAAAGACTTTTGACTGTAATAGAATAAGAGTATATCTTAACTTAATAAGAATATATCTAAACTTTATAATAATAACATTTAAAGACATTGAAATCAGTATCTAAGTGCTTGCCATGTAATCGAATTTTTATATATAAATTGTACTCTTACTTTTATTATAGAGTTTTTATAACAAAAAATTCAGATTTCTGTTAGATAAAATGTTTAAGTAATGTAGATAATTTGCATAAAATTTAAAATGAAAAGTATACTGTTATGTCAACATACTGTTAATAAAAGTAATAATACTCAGTGAAGGTTATTCATATACAGCTATTAGGTTGTGAAATTTACAAAATTTGAGAACTTAAAAGCAATATTATATTTTTTATAGTCAGACAAATTATAAAAATGTATAAAATCAATAATGAAACCTGATTTTGGTTCTGATTTGAACCTATGATGCAATTACACATCCCTATAGTTCTAATATGAGGCAAAAAAGGCTAATATGAGACCATGGTAATTTTGATCTCCTTAGCAAAGGAAACACGAAGAGTTTACCTGATGCTACTGAAAATGTGTTTTTCTTGGGGAGGTGGAGTTTATATATGAAAAAATGTCAAGACTCGTGTGATGTAATATAAAAAGCATCAGTTTTAACTATGAAATTTTGGCTTTTTTAAAAATATTTTAAATGTTGTGCTTTCCTAACACAAAAGTAACTTCAAGAAAAACATGCAATTTATCCCTCCTGCCATCAATGCTCTGATACCTACGAAACTTGTTAAAGTTATGTGGACAAAAATGGCGGCATGTTTTTTCAGCTCAGTATTTACGGTTACCAAGGTTATAATTTTTCATTTATCGCTTCAAGATGTCGCCCAAAAGAACTAATGCTAAAGCTGCACCCAGAAATGTGTGTCAAATATGCTATCAGTCATTAAGAGGGAAGAGTAATTAAACAAACATATTCATATGAGAACAGGGAAGAAACCTTTTAAGTTATGCAGAAAGTTTTTATTCTAAAAGGTGATTTAAATATGTATTCACAGAGAACAAAAAATCTAATGATTTATGTATGTAAAAGTCATTTTTTAAGTTATTAAAGTATGTATCGATAGAAAAGAGAAATCTCATGAGTAAGGTAAGCAGAATTTGGATTCAAGAAGCATTTGAAGAAACATGATTATCTACATCATAGACAAGCCTTTTGAAAAAAAGGTTAGGTTAATAACAATTTTTAATTATCGATGCCTTAGAGACTTGTCCTTTTGAGTGAAGAAACCCCATTATGTAAAAAGAAGGCTAGTTCAGTCGTACCAGTTAGAGGCAGTAAAATTCTTAGAATTTAGAGAGGTTCTCAGTGGCTAAAATTAAGGATTTGCGGGCATTATATCGGATGGTATAAAGCAGACTGTTGTTTTTGTGTGAGGTATATCATCAGTTGATCAAAACAAATAACAAATCATTTATTTGTTTCTGCAAGAGAAGAAATTTCCAAGATATATCTCAGTATGAAGAAGAAGTCAATTTAAAGAAATAATTATTTGAAGTAGCAGTTGGTTATTCATCCAGTTTTCACTTGAACTCAGACTTTATGGTTTTTCCATCTCCTGTAGCATAATAATGTTTCACCTTTATCTCTAACTTATTTGTGAGTTGAATCCTTTGTACTGTATTGCACTTTACATATCGTTTCATAAACAGTATAAAGGTATGGAATATACTGTTTTATGATGTCCTCTTTAGCACTTAAAGCTGAAATTTTTTGTGTTCTAATTGAAAATGTACCTCCTTCATAGTTGTGTTTTGAATATTGAGAATGCCTTGAAATGATATATCACCAAGTCAGTGTTATGCACGCACTGTTATAAAATTATTTCGAACTCTGCTGCCAACACCATAGTAGCAATAATCAGCTCCTATTAGCATCAAGTAAACTAGAGGTTCTTGAGCAAATAAAGTTTTTCATAAGTTTATACAAATAACTGTGAGGTCATTTTTACTTACATTCACTGTCTACTCGTAAGTGGTCAGTCTTTATATCTGTCACTTGCCAATATGCACTATGGGGATCATATGCTTGTTGTCACTTTGAAATGCTTCTAGTAATGAAATTCTAAAGCATGGCTAAAAGTTTCACCTTTATTTCTAACTTATTTGTGTTCTGTGTAAACTTGACTCTCTCTGAGTTTGATACAGATATTAATCACAGCTGTATGATTAGTTTTGAAATGTCTTAATTCTGTGTGTTATAAAATAATGTATTACTAACTCATTTATAGTGAATAAATACTGAAGACCAGAGCTGCTTTACCAAACAAGTGCTGCAGTCAGTGCTTAACATTCACCAAAACAATACAAGATTAAA